ATTACATTTTGAGCATGGGTGGGTTTTGTCGGTAAATCAAAAAAAATCAAAAAATCAAAAATCTTCTTTGGAGATATCCATTTTCCTGGAGTCCTTTGATGGGTGCCGCAATGGCTCTATTTGCAGTATTTATATTTAGGCTACTGGGCAAAATAAGATGACACATATACACTGAGCAGTATTTCTCAATCAGACAAATATAATTATATACAAATTTTCCCACAAAACTAGTATCTAAAAGCTTGAACATGTAAATTATGGACATGAAAGCTGTGATATGCCAGCATTCTTCTTTTCTTTTCCATTTCAAATTTTCAGGGAACATACAAGTCTAAGAAGTATCTCCACATATATATGTTTAAGGCTTGAGTAAATTTATCAATTTTATATTTGATTTGACAATCTTTCCACAAGAAAGCAATATTGAGTTTAGTCATAATGTTCGTTTTCAAATAAATCAGAACTCATCATTAATAGTGTAAACGCATAAACAACAAAAACTCAAACAAACACCCAGATAAAATCCAAGCTTGCAAATGCAACTTATTAACACACGATGACAATCCATTTAACATTATGTGGCAAGGATTGGATAGTCTTCTTCTTTTTATGTCCAACCATGTCCAATAATTCATACCAACACGCACTAACTGTACAAATTATTGCAGAAAGAAGGAAGAAAACTTACTCCTAGTGCGTTCGCTACCACCTTCGTAGTAGTAAGGAGAGGAATTCCAGTATTTTTGCAAATTTGAGTACCACTTTATTAATTGCAAATTTCTAGTTGAATATTCTGCAGTTCCTAAATCTTCAAGTTCCTGAAATTATGCCCATAAACAATTGATGCTTCCCAATCAATTAAGCCAGATTGACGACATGTAGTCGATTTAATAGCAAATGACACAATTTTTCAGAACTAACAATAATAATTACGTATAGTAAGGTAATTAAAGCAAGGAGAAATAAAAGTACTGAAGAAAGATGCAAAAGAAAAAAAAATAGTTACTGGATACAACTCGAAGGGCTCTTGCTTAGCAGCACGAAAACCGCCCCCGCCGAAACCGCCACGGCCGCGGCCTCGCCCTCTAAACGCCATCTACGAACACGATTCCGAATTGCTAATTTATTTATACAATAGGAGAGTGGGCAAATACGGGTTTCGTCCGGTTTATTCGATCCGGACAAATTCCATTAGTTGTGGACTTAGAGTGGGCGTTTGGCGAAGCTTTTAAAAAGTTCATTATAAGTTAATTTATTATATTTTAAAATGAATACTTTTTTTTTTTTAAAACTTTCAAGAAAGCACTTTAATTAATTATTCAAACATTTTTGGTGACAAAACGTAAAATTATTACTTTATTTTAGGCTTATCAAAATACTCTTAAAAGTAACGTTCTAAAAAGCTTGTTAGGCGCCTAGTCGTCGCCTAGACTTGAAACTTGAACAAAAGGCCTTGTTTCGTGCTTAAGCGCTTTATTTTCAATTCTTAAACGGTTGGGTTTTTGTTGGATTTTTTCCTTCCAATCTTTCGTCTTCCTTAAGTGCTTTTCATTAATTTTTTATTTCTTTTTTTAAAAAAAATTATTTGACTTTAATTTTTAGCTTCTAAAAGACTTTACATGCACAAAAGTCAAAATGACTTTATTCAATAAAGAATTAAATAAGATTTATATTACGATATTATCTGCATTATGCAATTATGATTTTGAAACTCATTATTTTGTTAAAAACTCCAAAATCATGTATAAATTTCTTATAAATTTATTAAGTATGACTTATTTAGTTGAAAATTGAAAGTATGAAAAATAGTTTAATTTTTGCATTTCAAAAACTTGAAAATTTTATAATTGACTAATTATAACAATTATTAAATAAATATTGTATTTTATAATTTCGATATTTTCTATGTTTTTTTTAATTATTTAATAATTTTTAGAATGATTAAAAATTTAAAATAATATGAAAAATAAGAAAACGTATTTTTACGCCTAAGTATCGTTTGGGCTCGCTTAAACTCGTAAAACTTAAACATTCGCTTCCACACCTAGTCACGCTTTACACTTTTTAGAAAACTGCGTAAAAGTATGAACAACATAATATTGTATGATGGATCAAGTTAAAATTCTAATTTGACTTTGACTCATTCATATTATTGTGGGACGACAAAACTCCAAACATTTGAAACATTAGCAATTTATTCTCAAACATTTGATTTGTTGGAGCCGTTGGCACTAACATGTACAAACATTGCTGGTGAGACTCTTTTGGACGGTTCCGTCCATTTCTCCATCAGTTAACCACCAAAAAAAAAATTGACCACTTTCTACAAAAATAGGGGAGGGAAAAATGATAACTTACTATTTTTCCCATAAAATAATTTAAAAATTAAATCAAAAACAGAAAAAATAAAAGAAAAAGAAAAATATATCTTCTTCTCCCTCACCCCACCCCCCAACCCTCACGCACAAGTACAAGCCCAACCCTTTAACCCAAAATCAGAAATCTGCCACCGCCACGCCCACTGCCATCGACCACCACCACTAACGTGAACGCCATTTCCTTGTTAAATCATGAACAATCGTTCCAAGAAATTAATAATGAAAAAAATGAAAAGCCTAAATGAAGCCGCCGCACTTCACCACTTTAACTACCACATTGCCTCCTCCAAAGCCGTTGGAAAAATATCTCTAACACCGGTGGTATCAAACCCCCAACACAAAATAAAATCTCTTCAAAGAAGAAGAATAAAGAATCACAAAATGTGGGAAATAGCTTGATTGTTTCATTCCAACAAAGACTGCAAAATATTTTAAATAAATAACTGACTATCTGTTTCCATGTCAAACTTGCATTCGCAACAATGGTTACAAATGGTACTACAGTCCTCTACAAGATTTATTTAGAACACTTCTTCTGCACTTGAAGATACATGACGTCAAAAATCCAACTGCACTTCTCCAAAATTTTTAGCCACTTATCTTCTCCAATAGATGTTGGCACCAACAGTTGTGTTGGCTTCTGCGATTTTCGTTGGCGCCGATGGTGAGAGACGGATTGGGATTGGGTGATTTTTTGTTTGGGGTGATTGTTTGGTTAGTAGTGAGGGTGCGTGAGAGTGGAGGGAATGGGGATTGGTAAATAAGATGGTGTTTACTTTCCTTTCAACTTTTTTATTCAATTATCACTTTATTTAATTATCAAACTTGACTTTTTGGTGAATTGACGGATAAATGGATGGAAATCATTCAAAAGGGCCTCACTTGCAACGTTTAAAAATGTTAGGAGTGGCGGCTACAACAAATCAAAGGTTCGAAAAAAGTTAATAATGTTTCAAAGGTCTGTGGCTTTTGATGCAATTATCCCTATTATTTTTTATATTCAATTTATGTTAAATTTTCTAAAAACACCATAAAGGGGAAAGTTGCACTTGGGGTTCCAATTTGTTATTTTCTAACAATCACAATGTAAATTTTCTTCGTTATATAAAAGATCCTTTCGATTGGCTCTGTTCAAAATTTCCACCTATTACTTGTCACATTTCTTATGTAGGTGCAACTAAAATTGTGGCCCGTATTTGCTATACAAGGACACCAATTAAAGTTCTTAACATTGACACTTTACCCAAAAACAATCCACATCTCATGTACATTAGCACAGTGTACTCTTTGTTAACCTAAAAGCAACTAGCACTCTCAGGTGGCTTCATCTTCACACGAGCTGATTCACAACTGATTCCCTTCTAGAAGAATCTGCCCTTGCTCCTTCATGTGAATTCAGTTAGCAAGCATTACCCTCAGCTACAGGCTAACACTCAGTGTCTCTACCATAATTCATGGACTACCATTGATCATATAACACACTTGTACAGTTGAGATCATTAGTCTAGAACATTCCTTTACTTGTATAAATACTTCGTCATTTTACTGTATCACTTCATCAAGTGAGATTAAGAGTAAAAGCTCATTTTACATTTCAAAGTTCAACTTGGTATCAGAGTTGGAAATGGCCAACGCCAATAATGCTGATATTGATAGCCCTCAAACCCAATCAGCGTCTGTTTCAAATGCTATAGTGAGTCTGATATTGGGAAGTCACCATCTCGCTCCTTTCGGTATGAATCTCACACAGACACCCTCAGTCAAGCTTGATAGAGATAACTATCTCCTATGGAAGAACATGATTCTTCCTATTATTCGAGGTCATAATCTGGAAGAATATCTACTGGGAACTAAGGCATGTCTATCTGAGTTCATCAATACTCAAATTATTGGAGAATCAGGAACCATTGTGTAAATGACACCTAGAATTCAATCAATGGAGGTATGTTGATCAGCTACTCATGGGATGGCTTTATGCTACTATGACTCCAGAAATTGCAATATGTGTAATGGGATCCACAAGCTCCTCTCAACTGTGGACTGCAATTAATGAGAGCTACGGCATTCAAAACAAATCTAGATTGGAGAGCTCCAGAAAACCAAGAAAGATAATCTGAGCATTGATCAATACTTAAGCAAGGTAAAACTACTTGCTAACAATTTAGAAGTTGCTGGAAAAACTATTGAGCTCCCGGATCTGGTAACTCAAATTCTGGCCGGCTTAGACGGAGAGTACATGCTCATTGTTGGGTAAATCAACAGCAGGGACTCCATCTCTTAGAAGGAACTTCAATCTACGCTCATGACCTATGAAAGCAGACTTGATCACATAAATGCTATCAAAAATGAAATGGCAGGAATCAATCTTCAGCTAACTTTACCCAAAGGTCTCAAAACAATTACTATCCTAGAAGAAACTACAGAACCTACAATGGAGGAAGATCACAATACAGTGGAAATTACAAGTGCAGTAGAAGAGGAGGTAGAAACAGAAGCAGATCCGACTTCAACGATTTGCCTACGTGCCAATTATGTGGGAAAATTGGACACAAGGCAAATGTCTACAATTACAAATATGATGAAAACTACAATAGATCGGCACCTCATCAAACCAATTTCAGAAATTAAACATCATCAACCTTTGTTGCATCACCAGAAACTCTCAATGATCCAATATGATTTGCTGACATAGGAGCTAGCAATCACGTCACATCAAATGCTAAATGTGAACCAAACTCTCTTAAATCTACGTATCCCAACAACTCTTGCAAATCAGTATGCTCAGTTGAGTCCAGTAAAGTCAAGAGTCAAGAATATTTAAATTATCTAGTTAGTATCTGGCAGAGAAGGCTTGGACACCCATCTAGTCAGGTGTTGTCTCAAGTACTCAAAAGTTGTAATCAAAAATTAAGAATAAATGAATTCAAATCCTTCTTTGATGCCTGTCAATATGGAAAATCTCACATGCTTCCCTTCAATGCATCTGCTTCACATATCAGAATTCCACTTGAACTTATATATACTGATGTCTGGGGGCTTTTGCCCATTCCCTCCATTTCAGGCTTCAAATATTACATAGCCTTCGTAGATGATTTTAGTAGACACACTTGAATTTATCCAATGAAAAACAAGTCAGACTCCCTGAATATATTCATTCCATTTCAAAAACTTGTCGAAAATAAGTTTGACAAAAGGATCAAAACCCTTCAATCTGATGGGGGAAACCTTGCTAACTCCCTTGTGAATTCTAGAATCGAACTCAGACATTCTTGTCCCTACACATCAACACAAAACGGAAGAGTTGAAAGAAAACACAGACATATTACAGAAACAGGTCTAACCTTACTTGCTCAAGCAAAAATGCCACTAAGGTACTAGTGGAAATCCTTTCAAATAGCAACCTACCTCATTAATAGAATGCCAACACAGGTTCTTCAAATGAAATCCCCTTACCAAGTTCTGAATAGCAAAAAGGTTGACTACACATCCCTCAAAACTTTTGGTTGTTCATGCTATCCCTGCCTTAAACCTTACCAAAGCCACTAATTCAACTTTCACTTTGTCAAATGTGTTTTCTTAGGATATAGTCCATCTCACAAAGGTTACAAATGTCTTAGCCCTACTAGAAAAATCTACTTATCTAGACATGTCGTATTCAATGAATTAGAATTTCCATTCGAGTCAATCTTTCTTACAAACCATAAATCTAAGGCTGCTGAACATCAAACTGTAGTATCCTATTCTTAGTTGCCTTACCAACACTCCAATTCCTTCATTGAAAGTGACTAAGCTTATACAAATCCTCCTGAAGCTCCATCAGCAGAGTTACCCACTTATGAACTTAACACTACAATTGAAGGTGACAATTCCAACACTCAAATTGAATTTGAGCAAAATGATGAAGTATCTGGGAATGAAAATGTTGAGATAAGAAATCAGGATATCGGTGAAATTTAGGGCTCATCACTTAACAATGATGAAAGGCAGAAAATTGGACACTCGATGATAACAAGATCTAAGGCTGGTATATTCAAACCTAAGGTTTTCTTTGGTCAAGCAGTGGAATACAAATCAAATGAAATAGAGCCTAAGGATGCTGCAGAGGCATGGTAGAATGAGAACTGGAAGAAAGTAATGGTTGAAGAATACAAGGCATTGACTGAAAACAAAACATGAAAATTAGTACAACCATCTCCATCCTACAACATTGTAGGAAACAAATGGGTTTTCAAGCTAAAACAAAACTCAGATGGATCCTTCCAACGTTTCAAAACAAGGCTGGTAGCAAAGGGTTTCCACCAAACTCCTGGAGTTGACTTCTATGAAACTTTCAGCCCAGTTTTAAAGACGGCTGCCTTGAGAATCATCCTTACGCTTGATGTCTCAAAGGGTTGGAAAATAAAACAAGTAGACATTAACAATGCCTTCTTTAATGGAGAACGGGAGGAGATGATTTACATGCAACAACCAAAGTGCTTTATTGACAGTTCAAAGCCAAATTACGTATGTAAACTTGAAAGGGCTCTATATGGACTTAAGCAAACACCAAGGGCTTGGTATGACAAATTAAAGAACACTCTAATTGATTGGAAATTCACTCAGTCCAGAGCAGACACCTATCTCTTCCACTTCAAAACAGAAAGCAACATTATCTTCATTCTCATTTATGTGGATGACATCATAGTTACTGGGAATGAATGTGAACTGCTACAAAACTTCATAAATGAACTTCACTGTAAATTTGCACTCAAAGATATGGGCGAGCTTCACCACTTCTTAGTTACTCGGTAAATTTGACTTTCAAAATCTCAAACCATGTCATACTCCTAATGCAGTTGGAAGAACAACGTCAAAAACTGAAGGTGAAATCCTAAAAACTCCTTCAGTTTACAGAAGTATTATTGGAGGCCTGCAATACCTATCGCATACCAAACCAGATATAACTTTTGTTGTTAACAAGCTTAGCCAATTTCTGCAAGAACCAACCACAACTTACTGGCAAGCGATGAAAAGAATATTGAGGTATTTAAAGGTCACAATCAATCAAGGATTGTGGATCAAAAGAAGTGATTACTTGATGATATGTGGGTACTCAGATACTGATTGAGCATCATGTCCAGACGATAGAAGATCAACAGCAGCCTACTGTGTTTATCTAGGGGACAGCTTAGTCTCTTGGTCATCAAAAAAGCAACATATTGTCGCTAGGTCGAGCACAGAGGCAGAATACAGAGCCTTAGCCTCAATTGCATCTGAAATAGCTTGGATACAATCTCTATTTAAAGAACTCAACCTACTGCAAACCTCAAAACCAACCAATTGGTGTAACAACCTCAGTGCAGATTTGCATACCTAAAAGACAAGCTTGGAGTGACGGTACCTTCCTCCAACTTGAAGGAGGTTGTTAGAACCTAAAAGCAACCAACACTCCTAGGTGGCTTCATCTTCACACGAGCTGATTCACAACTGATTCCCTTCTAGAAGAATCTACCCCTGCTCCTTCACGTGAATTCAGTTAGCAAGCATCACCCTCAGCTGCAAGCTAACACTCAGTGTCTCTACCATAATTCATGGACTGTCATTGATCATATAACACACTTGTACAACTGAGATCATTAGTCTAGAACATTCCTTTACTTGTATAAATACTTCGTCATTTTACTGTATCACTTCATCAAGTGAGATTAAGAGTAAAAGTTCATTTTACATTTCAAAGTTCATCTCTCTTCAGGAACAAAGGTATAATCTATAGGACACGTATCAAAATAACAGAACTTATGAATGAAATCTCCCATAAATACATAAGAAAACTTTAGAGCTTGTTTGGTACACATTAAAATGAAAGAATGCATTTTTTTGAAGTGATGTGATGGGGAATATGTGGTTGAAAATGAAAAAAAAGTTATTGATGTAATGAAAAAGATTATTTTATTGAAGAATATATGGTTGAAAATGAGTAGAAGAATAAGAATGAAAAAAATAATGTGTGTCAAACAGAGGGTTAGTCCCTCTTTATTCACAAAAAATAGGTACAGCCAAACAAAATAGAATTCATTAAAATTTTCACATCCAACTATTGTCCTATACGTCATGTACTGGAAAAACAATGCAATGTTGCTTGTTTCTACATAGTTTATGATGAAGCTTTACTCATAGTAACTTTAACCTAAATATTCTCAAAAACGTTGTTCGTTGAATTTTGTCGAAAATGTTTGAAGGAAAAAAATGTCAAATTAGAGAGGAACGTGTCAATATCCAATCATTAACTTGGTTTGTAAGTCCCAGTAGAGCTTTGATTGCTTCACCATCTCCTCTCTTTCAGCAGCCAGCCTCTCCTTCCAAGTTTCCTTGCAACTACAAAGCATACAAGCCCGTTAAACTTCAACTTTTATTTTACAAAAAGAAAGAGAGTTTACAGAACATTTTGCTCACTGTTTCTTTAATAGCAAATCTAATTCCATCATGTGCAGGGCATTAGCATACACTCCCACCTGCTTTAAAGACCAAGAATTAGCATTGAATGCGCAAATAAAAAATTGTGATTTAGAGAACGAACACAAGCGCTAAATATTGAGAAAATGTGTTTCCATTAACCATGGACAAACTAATTTTATAAGGAGAAGGTTTATTCTCAAACATCTAAAATAAAGTTCATATGGCATTATTACGCGTAAAACACTATTTACGGCCAGAATTTGATATCCCAGCAATCAAAAAAAATTATCAATTATCTTATTCCTAGAACAGATGCAGCACATAAAGTATAACTTAAGAGTCAATGAGAATGTACAAAGGCTGAAAGGTGTGTGGGACTAACATAAGTGGGCAAGGGATGGCTATATTTCTGGTATTTTTTCTGAAAGCTATATTTCTGGGAGTTATAGGAGATAGTAAACTAAATTGAGACTAAATTGAAGTCATTTAGAATTGTTTGGTGCAATTATTAAGAAATGGATCTTGATTCACACCTCAAACCATATCTTTCCTAATGGTTTGTAGGGTTTGAACAATAAAAAAACACGAGGTTATTCATCCAATGTCAAAGAAATAAAGACTCCCAAACGCCTAAAATTATTCAGAAATCAATCTTATCTAGATACAACCTCCCTGCAAATGGGGCATTTTGATTCCGGACTTGCAGTCTTGAGACCTTGGAAGATCATAACCGAAGCTGCAGAGCAAGCGCATGGTTTGCAGAAGATGTGCCCACATCCCAAAGCATATGGTTTATAAACCGTATCCTTAATATATGATATAGCCAAAAATTAAATCAGTCAATCAAATAAATTAAAAAAATATGCAAAGTTCTCTTTAGAATTCTAATTAGATGAGTAATCTTACCAAGCAAATGGCACAAGTCAGATCATATTCTAATTTCACAGAATCTGGTAGCATCAAAGTCATTATGGGCTCTGTAGCACTAAGATCACAAGAGAACGGTCCATCAATATCCTGATTCCCACGGCTTGATTCGTTAAAGTTAATATAGAAAGCCCCAAGTTCCATTAACCAAGGAGATTGCAGAGGCTCTATGTGTTCAGTACGAATTTTAGATTTGAAAATTCTTCCATTGGCAGAGCAATGTACCTATACGAAGTCAAAGGAGAGTCAAATATAAAGAAAGACGTAAATAAAAATCTGGTCCTTACAAAATAAGAAATTGGATAGTCAAGAAAACTTCTTCAAACGGAAACTAATACTGGTTACCTTATCGTACTTCTTGAGGATTTTTTGTAGAGCAATAGCATTCATTGCAACATATTCAATTAACAGTCGACATTCTTGTGCTGTGGTTTGCGGATTGCTTGTGAAACATTGGCACAAACTTATGAAATACTTTTGCATTGAGTTTGGAGAGTGTAGATGGATAATCCGCCGTACTCTTGAACTAAAGCATCCAGCTACATCAGAAGCTTCTTTCTTCAATTCAGAGAAGAACATCTGATCACACACTGCAACATATAAAATTTTACATCATCAAACATATGCACTAAAATAGCATGATCGCATTTAATCTTATCAAGAAACAAATTTAGAGAAAAAAGGAAACGAAAGTTTACTGACCAAATTACACTATACACATTTGCCCATCTGTGATCTGTTTATATGCTTGTAAACTTGTAATAAATACATGCATACACAATTCTGTGTCAATGCACAAAGAAATTGAATACTATAAGATGTTCAACAAAACTGATATTATTTGACAATACTCATATCAATATAGTCAATGAAAGTTAGGTCATATAAGCTTGTTTTCCTTTACAAGTGATGAACCTAGATCACAATCTTATAGACAAAGAATTGGTTTATTGTTAAAACATAGAAGATTTCTGCTGCACTTTTGAAACAATTTAGACATTGGCAGCTAAGAGCAATGATATTCTTCAGTAAGCATCTATTGAAGGCAATTATAGAAGGAGACCATTCAACGACAGTCATAAAGTTAAAGTTAGAACGTGACAACTCCGCCCTTAACATTCACAGAATCTAATACCAAGATATTGACTCAAGATTTTGGATAACGTCACATTTCACCATATCTAATTGATTGGCAATAGAGTTGCACATGGAATGGCTAAGCAAGTTGGATTTCAGTGTATTGCAACGGCTTTTGTTGGAAGCACTGAGCTTTATAATGCCTCTAATACTATTTGATTAAAGAAAGAAAATACCTAAATACTAACAAACTACGAATCCCTTCATCCACTGCAATAAATATATGGTTTTAAAGTGAGAACTCACTACATTATTTTGTTTAGTTGAGAGTTCGATAGAGAGTTCTTTAAAATGAGAATTATGCACTTGAATTTATCAACTCTAGTCTACTCTATCAACTCGGCCCAGTCTATTAGTAGACTGCTCAGCTCAACCAATTCTTCAAACTTACCGTTCTCACCCATTCGTAGAAGGTCCAACTCTCCCATCGGCCATCACTCCTAGCTCGTGCACAACTCTTCCGGTTGAACATCACTACCCCTACCCCTCCTTTAATTTATAACCATTTTTGACAATAATGGTAAAGAAAGGCATTTTTGACAAAATAAATAAATAAAGAGATGGATATTCTTCACCTTTTTACCCATCTAAACAAAACTCCAACATGAAATTAACCTAATTCCATAACCAACATGTTATAAAATTCTATATCCAAAGGAAAAACACCATACCAACCAAGATTTTGCACTATAAAAAACATGTAAATGACTTTGAATAAAATATTACAAACAATTACATAATCAACACTTTCTCATTCATACAAAAATGACAATAAATAAAAACAAATTATAAAGAAAAAATTAACACTTACATGGGCAAGATTCATATAACTGGGTGGATTGAGTCAATTCATCTTCCCTTAATTGATTGTCTTCTTCCCCATTATTATCAGAACCCTTCAATGCATTACATCTCCTGCAAGTTTTCAGCACTTTTTTAAGCCTTTTATATTCAATATGACTACACTTCTGCAAAAACCTCCCTCGCTCCCCGCGTAAAAATTCTGTAAACGTCTCTCCAAATTTCATCTTCTAAATTATTTCTCTCTTTTTTTCCCACCCAATAAAAAGACAATTATACATAACAAGAAAACAAATATATACAAGATCCCCAGTTCCAAAACTAGAAACAAATAATAAATTTCTTTTAATTTCTCCTACTGGAGCAATCTTATGAATGCGGGTCTAGAAGACGTGATTTTACTTTTATTTTTACTTTTTTGAAATATGGATTTGGAGAAAGAAGTAGAGATTGATATAAAAAGTGAATGAACGTCCGATTTTCTCGGATTTTGGGAGCTGCGGTGCGAGTATTTGGAGGTGATTTTGCATGCAGACCGGACCTGATGCGAGGCAAAGGTGTCCTCGTGCCCAATATCAAAGGTCCTTAGATTTTTAGAAAAAAATAAATAATTGGGAAAATTACACAAAATCAGAATTTTAAAAATTCAATTTCAAATTTCAAATTTAAAGAATTTCTTTTCAAAAATCAGATAATTATTCATCTTTCAATATTAATAATAATATTATAAATACTAAAAATTAATTTATATACACCTCAACCTCCAATTTTAAATCTCTAATTTATAGTTCTTCTGGTTCTACAGACACTTCTCTCTCTCTTCTCTCTCTCTCGTAGTGTTGGTTGGCGGCATAGAGGGGGCGGCGGTGCCGTGGTTGTAGTGGCTGGTTGGTGTTGGTGGTAACGCTTTCGTATTTGTGTTTACATTCTTCTCTCTCTATCCCGTGCTTTTTTCTAGATCGTGGTTCTTGTGGCGGGTTGGATTTGGTGGTGGCGACGGCGACGGGGTGATTTTGTTAGATCTAGTGGTGGAGGTTGCGGTCATTTTTGTTGGTGGCTGCAGTGGTACTACTGCGTGCTGCCACTACACTGTGCAGCAACGTCAGATCTGCTATGTGCTGTGGTCGGGACCTGCAGCTCTGAGATCTGATGTGAAAATTGGGTGTGTTTTCAGCTAATGGATAGGGTCGTGGTGGTGGTATTTGGGTGACGATGACTTTGATGGATCCAACGGTGGCGAAAGTTATGTTGGATGTGATAGTGGCTATGGTTTTTTTTTTTTTTTTTTTTTGTGGCGGTGGTTGTGGATCTTGGTGATGGTGGTGGTGTTGAGATGTTGGTGTCAACGGGTCTGTCGAGGTGGTGGTGGATCGGTGCGACGACATGTTGATTTGTTTGAAGTGGTGGTGGTGTTTTTGGCGACGACGGTGGCAGTGGTGCTACTAGGAGGGAGTGGTGCGGTAGTGGTCACGAATTATTTGGTTGATTGTGACCATTAAATTGGTTAATTTGTAACCAATAAATAATATGTGATCAATGAAAAAGATAAATTGTGACAAGAAAATAAATGTTAATTTGTGATTGATAATTTGACAATTTGTGATACCAAGTTGTGACTCATAATATTTGTAATTTGTGATCAATAAATGAATTTGTTGACTTTGAAAATTGTATGAACAAGATTCAAGTCAACTTAAAATGAAAACAAGAACTTCTTTTTGTTAACTACACGTGAATTGCTAGTATATCTAGCAATGGTTACAAATCCATTATATTTGTCTTTATTCAAGAAGATATTTTAAATATGATATGTAAGATACCAGTAAGTAAAAGTTCTTCTTCCCTCCCTCCTTTTTACTTACAATTATTTTCTCTTTTATAGGAGAAAATACACATGCTTCATTAATTTCATATCTTGTCATCTGCAATTCAGAGCTAGAGAAGTACATATATTGGAATAATTCAATTGGCCACCGAACTCAATCTAGTTATCTCATGATGAGAGGACCTTACAGGTGGGCCTTAATAATTAATGAAGCAAGTCTTGGAAAAGGAGTCGCACTATTTGATCAGGGCTTATGTAAGTAATGATGCGGGATTATTCTTTGTGGATTTTTCTGATTGGCTGGTCCATGGATTGTGTCGGCGAACTTCAATCATTAGAATATTCTTTTCTTGAAAGACTATACAATCTTTCTGGATACGCTAATCATCCGAGCTAACCTTACTCTACCAAGCTCATATCGTCACGTGCTCATCACGTGTATCAATCCGATCTGACCGACCTCGGAGCTCAGCCCGTCAACAAATTGTAGCGTATAAATTTTTTATTTGTGACCAATGAACAAATTGTAACTTATAAAATTTTTGAATTGTGACCGTCAAATAATTTGTGACATATAAAATTTGTGATTTATGACCAATGAATAATATGTGACTTATTAATTTGATAAATTTGTGATCGATGAATGAAATGTGACGTACAAATTTTTGATTTGTGATCGATAAACAAATTATGACTTATAAAATTTTTGAATTGTGATCATAAAATAATTTTTGACATATAAAAATTGTGATTTGTGATCAATTAATAACATGTGACCAATTATATGGAATTGTGACCTTATATATTTAATTAATAAATATATGTTTAATTAATTAATTTATAAATAAAATTTGAAAAAGTCTGAGATTTGAAATTTTAAACTTTGATCTCTTAAATTTGAAATTGGCGAAACTTAACCTCTTAGTTATGTATATTCCCTAAATAATTAGCATATTTAACGTTTTGAACCTATTTTGGAGGCCCAATTTAACACATCCAAATGCTGGACCCGTAGCTCAATAATCTAAGGGCAACTTAAAAAAATACATCTAAAATTAAAGATCTTTCGAAAAATATTATGAAAAATATTTTGAAAGCAAAAAATACTGTGTCAAATTAAGTGTCAAATTTTCTATTAAAAATGTCACTTTTTATATTTAAAAAATGACATCATGTCACTTTTATATTAAATGTCTGTTACTTTTTTTTAAAAAAAAAAGATGTTTGTCACTAAAAAATGACAGAAATTTCAAGAAAGTGATGGCAAGAAAAATGACGCTAAAAAATAGAAATTTAAAAAGTGAAAAAAAAATTTTAAAAATAAGTAACAGAACACTATTAAAACATTGGAATCAGTTCAAAGTAACAAAAAAAAAAGTGGCACAACCACCATCTTCCCATCTTAGTTCACCAATTAAGTGCCACTTTTTTTAATTAAAATGAGACATACAATGTCACTTTTTATTACGTTTTTATTATAAGTGTCTATGTCACAATTTAATTTAAATGTGGTATACAATGTCATTTTCTCTATAATAAAAACTTAATTCACATTTAACACAATACAAAATAAATTAATATCTAAAAAATTATTATAAGTCAATCAAAAGCATAGTCAAAGATGTATTGTTCTCTTAGAATTAATTGTATGTGGTATTTTAACTAAAAAATGGCACAACATGCTATGTCGCTTTTAAATGAAAATGTTACAAATTGTAAGTGTAAAAAAAAAAAAAATTGTATAAGCACAATCATTTGAGTCATTTGAGTGTGTTTGGTAGAGATTAAAATCGGATTGAAATTGAAAAATTAGCCGTTATTGTTGACTTTTATTAGACAGGTGAGACCCAATAACGGCTATATTTTCAATTTTAATTGAATTTTTAGTGTTACCAAACAAGCTCTTAGAAATTTGGGGTTGCAGATAGATAACATGAGTCCTAGTACCCGTCATAGAAACATCAAATGTGCAAGGAAATAGTTGAGGAATTGCACATAAATGCAAGCGGAACGAAGTGAACCACAATTGTAAATCCTATTGTATTTATCGAGCTCCTCATAATAGACGTCCCACACACACCATCTGCTACCGCAACAGTTTTCCGGCAACGACTTCTCCGATGTCAACAGTTGAATATTTGACTTTCACCTTTTTCATCCATTCTCTACCTCGTTGTCTTTGCTTTCAATATTGGACTCTTGAATGTCATTCTCATCGACCATCTTACTACTGTTATGGTGAAATTGTGGGTGACTTTTGGTGATTGAATCTGAATTGATATGGAGGGGTGGCGAAAAAAGGAGAAGGGGTTTTTGTTAAATGTATTTCCTTTTTAAAGTACTCAGCCTAATTTCCTCATAGTTTAAAGGATCCAGCAAATTCAATCGGCATGAATCTCAAAAATCCTATCTACTCTATATTGCTTACTACGCTTCTTCGATTCACTATAGATTGAAGTTTGAAACCACCGCCGTGAGTACACATTCTCAATCGTCACTCTTGAAAATGCTCAAGTCTATGAGTACTCAAAAAATAACTTACGAATCTAAAAGAAAAAGAAGGGCTAAAGTTCAAAAAAAAAATTGGGATTTCTCGCGTGAATATACTTTTTTTTTTACACCAAAAAGTAGAACAAGTGAAGAATCAAAGGAAATGTGGAAATTCTCACGAAATTCTTACTTTCAATCTTGAATTAAGCACGTTAGCAGTCGAGCAAAATCAAAATTTTTCAAGAAAACTCGATATTTGTTCAGCATACATGAGATTTGCATAATAAACTAGGTATTTGCCGACAAACTCCACATTAGAAAACAAGATATTTGCACAACATATTGAAGATTCACACAGCAAACTCGATATTTGTCTAGCATAGTCTCTATTTATCCAGCATACTCAAATTTTGTATAACAAACTCTAGATTTGAACATAGTTATGTATGTTGGGTCAATTGCATTGGCGCAAATAGTGATGTATTTGGATAATTCGCAATGCGCAAATAGTAATGCATGTTGAAAACTTGAATTGTAAGATAGTTGTTTATCAAAAAAAAGGTTGAACCCCAACCTTGAGGGCCCCCCACCGCCCTTGCCCTGGGCCATTGTGGAGGAGGTAAATCGCAGGATGTGCCTCCCAGGAGCCAGGGTGGAGAGCTTATGGATAGGCCTTGGGCTATTAACCCTATGGTAACTCCCGCTTGCAACAAAGTCAATTCCACCTTGCGGGGAATCGAACTCTGCACACTACCGCGCTGAGCCCTAACTGCCTTCCCCTTTGCCACTGGGAGATAGTTGTTTATCATTAATACTTAAGCTAGTCATTGAACAATAGTTATATAATGCCCATATAAACATGAGGCTGGAGCTTGAAGGAATAAAAAATGACATGAAGTGACATTAATTCGA